CAGAGAAGGTAGCCGGCCGTCGAATCTCAAATTGGCCACTTTGACCCTCTCCGCCGGCGGCCAACCTTCTCTGGCCAATTCATACCCTGTTTATGCCGATTTCTACGATTTATTCAGCCCGCAAAAGAATTAAGTCTGGTGGAGACTATGCAGATCCGATCCCCCTCCATTTTATTGAATACACTACAGCTTACTCTCCAAGCAGAGGTAGGGTTTTGGGGGTATTTTTAGCGTGTTTTTAGGCTTTTTTTATCGGGGTTTCTCTTTTGCACTGATTTTTTCCCCACCAAACCCAACTTTCAGTGCAAAAGAGAAACCCCGATAAAAAAGCCTAAAAACACGCTAAAAATACCCCAAAACCCTACCTTTGCTTGGAGAGTAACTACAGCTATGAGACCAGGCAAACACTCTCAGCACTTGACTTGAGACACCCCCAATCTGGCCCCCAACAGCTAATCACCCTGCACGCAGCAAAGTTATGTCCTACAAACAACATTATCAAACTCTAATCACGTTATCAAACTACATTTTTCATAAAACCGATCAGAATTAGATTCCCAAGTCAATCTGAGAGGGACCTCTTAAATAATAGATCACAACGCAGCTTCTGATTCGATCATTGAGAAACCTTTTTTATGAAAATGGCAACTAACGAGGTAAAATGTGCGTTTCTGGTGCCTGATATTAACCCCGTCCCTCGTGACTCATCTAATGGGCTTCAGAGTTTCCTGAAAACAGGATATCGATATCGGAGAGGAAACTCACAGAAAAACTTTCCTGAAAACAGTTTCTCCAAAAGAAACATCACAGCAAAACTTTCCTTACCCTGAAAACCATCCTAAGCCTTAAAGCCATGATCTCCAATACCAATAGAGAACTCACCGGAAAACTCAACGGGAAACTTACAGGAAAAGTCAACAGGAAAACTCACAAGTGTGAACCTGTTGTTTATATTCCTTAATAGTCACTCCAGCCAGGAATCCTTGATCACTCACATCCAGGATAATCATATCTTCTCGATCCGCACGTATACAAATGGTTGCCAACAGACAGCAGCAATATAAACAATGTTACAATCTAATCCACCATACCATCCGATCCAAATGGAGGTCCCGTGTTTGGGACAGCCACACCCCACGCACGTAAAAGAACCCACCGCACTTATCGAAGGAGTAGGGGACCTTCCCGGTGTGAGTGGTTCAAACCTTACAGTCTGGTCTCAGGCGTGACGATCTTGAAGTGGTGATAGTCACCTGTTAAGTCAATCCTTCCACAAATGTGGTAAATCGTCATAAATGAATAGATAAATACCTACCACTCAAAAGCACCCGATGGTCCCGATCAGATTTGAAGCTCAGACGGCAGACAACCTTCTTCTGTCAGTGATCCACTCTGTCAGCTGGTTTTGTTTCAGCCGAACGTCGACGTCATTTCCGACCTCTGGATGGAGTCCAAGTTTACTTCCCGACCTTGGCCGCTAAGAAACCTTTGGGGAGAGTGCCTGCGTTTTGGTTTGTACGTGTTCAGAATGAGTAAACGGGATGACGACGTCGATAATTTTGTCATGGTGGGTTCACCGTTGAGTCATTTGGCAATCAATGATTTTGTACACGAAACGCACTAAGTTACATTAGGAAAGTCATGGTCTGCTCTGTTAATTCTTACTCAAACTCTTAGTCACATTCACATACATGTACTACTAGTATATGGTGACAGGAGCAGAGCAGACCATATGAAACTGCAACATTATATAACCCAACACCAGTCACCATGGTGACGAACATCAACAAATCATGTCATTGGTCAGGTCATAGGTCACTGGAGAAGAAGAAGAGGAAGAAACTGAGCAAAAACAATATGTTTTCCTTCGGTAAACATAATTATCTACATTGTGGTTAGAACGAAAGCTACTAGCATTCAGGGCAAGCTCAATTGTCAAGTTCCAACTGTCTGTATCTCCTGTATGTATTCTTGCTGGGGTCTTGTAGCTATGATCAGCATGAAAGTTCATCTGAGTTGGTAAATTACATTATGCAGAATTTTAAACTGTTCGAGACGGGGGGCGATATCGACTTCAGACAACCTTTGACCCTCTGCTGACGTCACACGTGGGAAAAATCACGTGTTCACAGCATTTGGGTCAGATAGCTGAGGAAGACTGAGTGATTCAGTCGAAAATTCCGGTGATTAAAATTTATGAGTTGGAGAACAGTTTAAAAGTCTGCATATTGTAGCTATGATGTTATTCCCCAGCACTTCGTGATGATGTTTCTGTTTTTCACACGCAACCAGCAGGTAGGGGACCTTTCTTCTCGTCATGAGCACCTGATGCCGCACCTGGGTCCACCTGGTAGGCAGGTGGCGCCTGCTGGGCGGGGTAGAACACCTGCACAGGTGCGCCTGCGGCACCTGGGTTCTGCGCCAAGAACATCTGCGGCTGGCTCCCCTGGGCACCTGCGGAAAATATTGATTTAAGAGTAAAAGAAATCTGTTACTTTCTAAAACTTTTTATTGTTTACACGGGCCAGAACACCTGCATTGATCATTATCGCAGCCCAGGTATGACATAAAGCTGGTTACCAA